GCGCCCCGGACCCCGAGGGGCGGGGTGCCGGGACAGCCTCCTGGGGACCAGGCCGGCCCTGCCCTCTGGCGGCCGCAGCGCCTGCACCCGAGCCCGCGCCGCGTTCGTGGAAAGGGAAGTCGAGCCCCGGTTCTCCTACTTTACTTTCATGCAGCCAGGCCGCCTTCCACTCATGCATTCACTCACTCATTGCTTCCCCCAGTCTCTGCAGCAAATGTGCAGGGAGCCCCCGCTGAGTACCAGGCGCTGTTCTAGACTCGGGGATCAGCAGTGAACAGAGTCGACGACTCCGTACTCAGGGGTCGATATGCTTGCGGGAGAGGCCCACGGGAAACGTAATGCATAAGTGCAATCTGTCAGAGGGCCCTGAGGAGCCCTGCTGGCCTAGTGGCTATGCGTTAGGCTGCTAAGCACAAGGTCAGCTGTTCAAAACCACCAGCTGCTCCTCAGGAGAAAGAGAGAGCTTTCTATTCTTGTAAAGAGTGACTGTCTGGGGAATTCACAGGTGCAGTTCTACCCTGTCCTAGAGGGTCTCTGTAAAAGCCAGCGTCGACTCTACGGCAGGGAGTTGGTATTTGGTTTGGGGCTGTGAGGATCATCTTCTCCTGCTGGGTGTTGTCCAGTCCGTTCTAACTCACAGCAACCGTATGCACACAGAAGGAAACACTGCCTGGTCCTCCACCATGCTCACGGTCATTGTTATGTTGGAGCCCCTTGTTGCAATCACTGTGCCAATCCATCTCCTTGATGCCCTTCTCCAGGGACATCTCCTTGATGTCTCTTCTGACAGCATGCCCAAAGTGCACGAGACAAAGTCTCGCCATCCGCGCTTCTAAGGAGCATTCTGGCTGTACTTCTGCCAAGACAGATCCGTTTGTTCTTGTGGCCGCCCACGGGCCCATTCCATACTCTCTGCCAACACCCGAGTGCAGTGCACCGATGGTGGTCGTGAGGTGCCATCGAGTCAGGGTCAACCCATGGTGGCCCCGGGCACAACAGAACAAGACACTGCCCGTCCCGTGCCAGCCTCACCATGGTTCCTGTGCCTGAGCCCATTGCTGCAGCCACTGTGTCCATGCATCTCCTGGAGCGCCTTCCTCTTATATGCTGCCCTCTACTGGACCGAGCACGCTGCCCTTCTCCCAGGTAGGTGCATGCACATAAGGTGTATAGAATCCTAACGAGGTGATTGGTTAGTTTTGCTAGTCTCAAAGGGAGGAGGAGAGCGGAAGACAGGAGAGGCTGAAGTTGGAAGTCATCGAGAGATGCTAGGGCAGTAGTTACAAGAATGGCACAAGAAGGCAGAGCTGGCTGGAAGGCTGCCACCGTGGGGCTGGTCAGCATGGAGCTCAGAGCTGTACCGCTGGTCTGAGAGAGAAGGCGCTGAGCAGGGCCAGTGGCAGAGGGCGAGAAGAGGCTCCCCTGATTGAGACCTGTGTCCGGAGTGCTTCTTGTTACTTTTAAGTTGAACCCGTTCCTGAATTATAACCTGTGATTTCCCCAGTAACACCCCTAATTGTGAGCCTGGTCTGCGAATTGCGAGACCAATACTGAGTCCAGCAGAGAAGCAGAGTGCCCTGGGAGGGACGGTTGGTGTAGGAATTGGCAGAAAGAGTGAAGAAGGGGGATTCTATCTGTCTGCCTATCTCAGAGAAATCAGCTGGGGGCTAGTGATCTTGATCCTTCCTCTGTGTGAAGGTAGAGGAGGTCTGATGCTATCCCATCGTCCTTGTACGAGCAGCAGGGATGATACTTTAAAACTTACATTTGCCTCTGTCCCCGTTTCAAATGGTCCATAATTAGATGTGCGTTTCACAGGTATTACATAACCAAACTCACTGCCATTGAGCCAATTCTAACATATGGCGACCCTTTAGGACAGTATAGAACTGCCCCTGTGGGTTTCCGAGACGATTACTCTTTACCGGAGTAGAAAGCCTCATCTTTCGCCCACAGAGCCGCTGGTGGTTTCAAACTGCTGACCTCGTGGTTAGCAGCCCCACTCAGAACCCATCATGCCACTAAGGCTCCTTACAAAAGCATAATAACACAAATTTGAACAATAGAGAAATTCATAGAAATTAAAAACATTTGTGTTTTAAAAGTTGGAGCCCTCCAGTAGCGATGCCAGGAGGAGAAGGGGAAGGTGGGAGAGGAAGGGGGACCAATCACAATGATCTAACTATAACCCCCTCCCTGGGGACAGACAACAGAAAAGTGGCTGAAGGGAGACATCAGACAGTGTAAGACATGACAAAATAATAATTTATAAATTATCCAGGGTTCAGGAGGGAGGGAGGGGGAGCTGATACCAAGGGCTCAAGTAGAAAGAAACTGTTTTGAGAATGATGAGGGCAACAAATGTGCTTGACACAATGGATGGATGGATGGATGGATGGACTGTGATAAGAGCTGTACAAGCCCCCAATAAAATGATTAAAAAAATAATAATACTGAAGACCGCTGCCTTCAATCTTCATTGGCCTCCTTGCTTTCCAAAGGGAAAGATTGTGTGGTCGACATATCGCTGGTAGTTGACAAGCCTCAC